TCTGCCATCCACTGGTTCACTCCCTAATTGGCTGCAACAGCTAGAGCTGCGCCGATCCGAAGCCAGGAGCTTCCTCTGGGTCTCCACACATGTGCAGGGGCCCAAGGACTTGAACCATCTTCCACTTCTTTCCCAGGCCATAGCAGAGAGCTGGATCAGGAGTAGGGCAGCCAGGACTCAAACCAGCGCCTATATGGGATGCCAGCACTGCAGGCAGTGGCTTTACCTGCTGTACCACAGCGCCAGCCCCTACAATGCTTGTTTTACAAAATGCCGTTCCACTGCTCTACCAAGGCAGCCGCTTCAGAATGATGGGGAGCATGGTAAGACCAGTGAATTCCGTGACCACAGTTGGGTTGCCACACTTCTTGATTGCGACAGTTCTGTGGTCAGACACAAGGCTGTGTGGAGCACATGACAGAGCATTCCGTGAGTCCCCAGAAGGTGTCCTAGCAGCGTTATGTGCAGGGAAGGCAAATTCATAGCCAGAGAAAGTGTTTATTCCACTAAGGACAAAATGTGGCTCCTTCTGTGGTGGAAGTGGTTCAAAGCAACCAAGCCACAAGGTCAGCTGGCTGTTCACTCCAAGGAATGGCGCTCTCCTGGGGACTCAGAGGTGGCCTCGCTACTACTGGCAGATTTTGGCATTCAGTAGCAGTCACAGCCTCACCAGCCTTAGTGAGTGGGTATCTATGTTGATGAGCCCACACCTAACCTCCATTCCTGCCACCGTGGGACTCTGATCATGGGTCCATTGTGCGACAACAGAGGTGGCTAGGGAAAGAGGCTGGACTGGTACCCACCGAATGGTTCACCTTATCCACCAGATTAAAGTCCTCCTCTGCTGAGGTCATGCTTTCTTGAGCATTCACATGGGACACAAATATCTTCACATCATTTGCCCACTCGGAGAGGCCTGTCCACATACTTCACCCATTTTTCACCCAGCTTCTAATTATGTTCCTTCCAAGTCCTGATCGTGTGGCTGAACTACTGGCTGCAGCCCATGAATCAGTGTATAACTGCTTATCTGGTCCTTCTTCCTTCCAAGCAGTGAACTACCAAGTTCACGGTCCAAAGTTTTAGCTATCGAGATGTCCCCCAGGAAGCCCCAGAAAGGGTCTCTCGTGGTGTTGTTTTCTACTTCTGGGTAGCACCCGTATAAAATAGAGAACTGTAATCTGTAAGGCAGTTTCAGGTCTTCTCTCCCTGTCGGCTGATTGTCAGGCACTCCCCGTGTGGCCACAGGTGCAGGCTGGGAGAGAAGGCAGGGTAGCAAGAGTAGGTGTGATGGGTGATGGGCACCTGGGCCCCTTCTTCATGTAACTCCCTCGTGCCTCCAGTCCTGCTCATGTATCTGTCACATCCGATGATACAGTGGTGCTGTGTGTGCCCAACGTTGGCTTGGTGGGTTGTTCAGCTCACGTTGGCCACTTCTGGTCCTGTGGTAACTTGGTTGTGCATGGCCAAGCATTCAGTTTCTACCCAGGCCCTGTAATAGGAAGAGGTCTCTCTCTAAAATGCAGTAATTACCTGTGGATGGTAGCAGAGCCTTGCTCCACAATTCTGTGGGTCTCCACTGTGACTTGGTTATAGGGACTTGCCAAAGGCTACCAACAGCAGCTCTATCTGGCACTGGCACCCACATCACACTGGATCTGCTGAATCACAGGGCCGCTTCCACAACGGCCTGGACCTGGGGCGGAGCCTTCTGTCCTGGGCCCCCCTCAATACCAGAGTCTTTTCAGGCCACTCAATAGGTGGGCCAGAGCAACACCCCTAAGCAAGCAATGTGTTGCCTTCAAAATCCAAATAAGCCCACCAGATATTGTGCCTCTTTCTGGGTTGCAGGAGGAGCCAGATGTAACAGCTTGCTCACCTTAGATGGGATATTTTGACATGCATCTCTCCACGGGACCTCTAGAAATTTCACTGAGGAAGAAGGCCCTTGAGTTTTAGTCAGGTTTACCTGCCACTCTCATGGCAAATGTTCTACCAATAAGTCCAGAGTAGTTGCTACTGCATGTTCACTGAGAGTATTTGCCAATGACCGGCCTGACATCTTGTGGTAGACAGAGGTGACCGAGATCCCTGGGGTGTAAATTGTGACTTGGGCTGAGAGTGGATATGCTGTTGATGCTGGAGAGTAAAGGTGCACTTGGGCCACTTCCATTGCTTTCCCAGGGGCATCAACAGGGAGCTGGGTTGGAAGTGGAGCAGCAGGGACTCAATCAGCACTCATATGGGATGCCAGCACTGCAGTGGGCCATCTCGGGCCATCTTCCATGCTTTCCCAGGCTATTAGCAGGGAGCTGGAACAGAAGTGGAACAACTGGGTCTCGACCCAGAGCCCATACGGAATGCCAGCTCCCACTACACCACAGCACTGGCCCCTCCTCTCAGTTCTCTTAAGACAAAATTGTAACTGTTAATAGTGTATCGTTGGGTTTGCAATATATATAAATTCAGCATGTATAATAATAATACCAAAACCAGAATGGGGCCTTTTGGACTAGCATATCTATGTATCATTGGAATTAAGTTAGTATTAACTGTGAAGTAGATTTTGACTAGTTAAGATGTATATGAAAGGGGCTGGCATTGTGGCATAACAGGTAAAGCCATAGACTGCAACACTGGCATCCCATATGGGCGCTGGTCATGTCCTGGGTGCTCCACTTCCAATCCAGCTCTCTGCTAATGGTCTAGGAAAGCAGTAGAAGATGACCCAAGTCCTTGGGCCCCTGCAACCACATAGGAGACCAGGAGGAGGTACCTGGCTCCTGGCTTCAGATCAGCGCAGCTCTGGCCGTTGAAGCCAACTGGGGAGTGAACCAGTGGATGGAAGACATTTCTCTCTGCCTCTGCTTCTCTGTGACTCTGTCTTTCAAAGAAATAAGACAGATCTTTAAAATATATACATATATATGTATCATGAAAAAAATAATTAAAGGAATTAAAATCTTCCATAGAAAATAGTAATGCAAAAGAAAGTATGACAGGGGACATAGAAAAATGAAACCAAACTTTTAAAAAGCAGAAAATAAAATAGTATATGAAAATCCAGCTACAATAAAAACACTATGTGAAAGTGGATTAAACAACCAATAAAAATGAAAAGTGTCTGGGAACAAGCATATAGCCTAGAGATTAAGATGCCCACCTCTTACAGCAGAGAATCTGTGTTCAATTCCTGGCTCCAGCTTCCTGACAATGCAGAACCTGGGGGGCAGCACTGACAGCTCAGGAACTGGGTTCCTGCTACCCACGTGGGAGCCCTCGATCGTGTTCCCTGCTCACAGTCTCAGACTCTGCTCATCCTTGGACATTGTGGTCATTTCGGGGAAATGAACCAGCAGATGGGAACTCAGAGAAAGGGTAGGTGTCTGGCTCAGTGATTAAGACATTGCTTGATTCTCCCACATCCTACAAGTTCGAGTCTAAGCTCTGCTTTTGAACCAGCTTCCTGCTAATGAGCACCCTGGGAGGCAGCTTAGGGACTTAGGTCCCTGCCACCCATATGGGAGATCCAGATTATGTTCTGGGCTCCTGGTTTCAGTCTGGCCAAGCTTGGCTGTTGTGGGCATTAAGGCAGTAAACCAGGAGACAGAAGATCTATTTCTCTTTTTGCCTTCCAAATAAAATGAAAATAAATCCAACTTAAAACAGAAGAAAAAGAGTAGGTTTGGCAAGAATATAGAGAGTGTGAAATCCTCATACTGTTGCAGGGACTATAAAACAGTGCAGCTACTCCGGAAGCCTTAGCTGGTAGTTTCTCAAAATGTTAACTTACAAAGTACAAAATGTAACTCAGAAATTCTACTCCTAAATGAAATGAAAATATCTGTCTACATGAAAACTTAGACACAGGGGCCAGGGTCGTGGCACAGCAGGTTAAGCCACTGCCTGTAGCGCTGGCATCCCATATGGGTGGCAGCTCATGTCCTCGCTGTTCCACTTCCAATCCAGCTCCCTGCTAAGGGACCTGAGAATGCAGTGGAAGATGGCCCAAGTGCTTGGGCTCCACACCAGCTACAGGGAAGACCTGCAAATTGCTCCTGACTGCTGCCTTTACAATCATTTGGGGAGTGAATGAACAGATGAAGATCTCTCTCTGTCTCCACTTCTCCTCTGTTACTCTGCCTTTCAAATAAATAAATACCGACCCCCCAACTCCCTTTTTTTTTTTTTTAAGAAAGAGAAATTTCCATCCATTAGTTAGTCCCCTAAAATGGCCTCAATGGCTGGAACTAGGCCATTCCAAAGCCAGGAGCCAAGAACTTCTACTGGGTTTCCCACATGGATACATGGACCCAAGGACTTGATGTAGAGCAGCCGGGACTAGAACTGGTGCCCATGTGGGATGCTGGCGCTGCAGGCCGTGGCTTTACCCACTATACCACAGCACCAGCCCCAACTTTTCTAAAACAAAACTAAACAAAAACTTAAATAAAAATAATCACAGGAGGCCACTGCTTAAAAAAAAAGATCGAAAAAATGTGGTCTTTTTAAGAAAAAAAAATCATAGACGCATTACTCACAATAGCCAAAATGGAAGCAACCCAAATGTCCATCAACTGATGACATGGTTAAACAAAATGTGTCACATCCACAGAATGGAAGGGTATTTAACCCTGAAAGGAATGGTATGTGTTATAACATCGATGACTCTTGAAAATGTGAGACTGAAAGAAACCAGTCACAAGAGATCATAAATTATATGATCCCATTTATATAACAAGTCCAGAATAGGCAAATACAAAGAAAGAGATGAGCAGTGGTTGTCCAAAGTTGGGAGTGGCTGGCGCTGACAGCTAAAGCATTGAGGTTTGTTTCTGGAGTGATGAAAATGTCTCAATTAAAATCGATCATAATCACATAATCGTGTGAATACACTAGAAACTGTTGAATCATACACTTGAAATGGGTGACACTGTATGGTACCTGATGTATATCTCAGTAAAGTTGTAATTTAAACATTTATATATTAAAAAGACAAATTAAATCCTGAAAAGTTTTATTATGGAAACAGAACAACGAGGATAACATGAAAGTTTATTCTTGATAAAAGTGCTACAGAATCGGAAGTAAATGAGTTTATAATCCAACTCTTTTAAAGACCTATAGTTGCTGAAAGTGACTTTTAGTATCTTGCAAAGATGCAGTTGCAGCAGGAACATATTCAATCTAAATGAATGAACACTGTCACAGGTATGGCTCTGAGGTCAATGAAAACAAAGAGAGCTGTATTCATCTAAGTTAATAAACTTAGAACACGAAAGGGTTGTTTATAAGATATTTCAAACTCTCAGCTTGGACTGCATGCTTCTCTGTGATGTCATCATTCTACTAAATGTATACAGTGGATACAAATTTGCTGCATCTCTTATAGAACTGCACAAGGGATTATGTATCCCAATATCAAAATTTCCCACATTTTAAGACTTATAAGCGGAAATTATTCAAAAATGCCTCTATACTAAAATTTTTTTACAATTTTCTCATCAATTTTTATATAAAGTGTTAACCCTACACATTCAAAACCTTAATAAAGAGATATTATTTCAATAAGAAATTGAATTTTACTTGCAACTTTTCAGAGGTGAAATTTTAATACTAATTAGAAATGAAAACTACTAGTAAATAGCAACAACATTAACTATTTAAAAACTTGGACAAATAAAGAGAGAATATATTGAGATGTTAATCAGGAAGTCATTATTTACTTTACAAAAGGGTCTTAAATATACAGAACAATTAAAAATGTATGCCTTTTAAATATTCATGCATTAAAAATAAATTTACCAAAAAATGAACTTACAACTTTTAAAATCCCATCAACTGTATAAAGAGAGGCACTACTTTTATCCACAAAAGGCATCAAATATTTGAACAGTTCAAAAATAGAAAAGGTCCAAAACAACTGATTTCTCAGAAATAAAATAACCCATTAAGATCGCTACTCTTCAAGAAATGTACCCTTCAAGAAATGTAATAATCTATTACATTTCTTTTAAATCTATTACATTTCTTTTAAAGCACACTTCAAGTTCCATTTCTGCTTTTCTTTTAGTCTGGACAATCTGGAAAAATATCACAACATTGAGGCTACTGATGACTTGGGTTAACATCTTGGGGGAATAAATGGCTATCTATAACACACAGAAAACAGTGAAGAGAAAACCACTCAGGTACAACACAGTCATGTGTCACTTATCATTCGGGACACGTTCTGAGAAATGTATTGTCAGGCAATTTCACTGTGTGTGAAAACCATTCGGTGTACTTACACAAACTCACCCAGCTATGGTATCACTCAGCGATGTAATTTTATTGGACCAATGTTGTATATGCAATCTGTCACTGAACAAAATGCCATTATGCAGCACATGACTGTTCATGCGGTTGCAAAACTCTACCGGTCTAACAAAAAGCACCAAGATACAGATGCCAAGTTAGACATCTGCAGAGTCAACATCACAGACCTGATCATTTAAATAAGTTTTACTTATTGGATTACTTGACATTTCAGAAGCTAAATAAATTTAGGAGACTAGAAGTCCCATTCCTATATTTAACAAAGTTTTGCTTATTACTGGGTTAACAATAATAGTAACAACAGCACAGTAAGGGATTTTATTAATGAGGAAAAAATTAGCAAAGTTTTCATAGGGAATAGATAACATTTTTGGGAAAATAAACCATAAGCTGATCTCAGAATATCCGGTGTCTAAAAACACAAAACAAGAAAAGTAAACTTAGAAATAAAGAAGTTAAGGCACTTATTTCAATGAGTCTGCAACATCAAGGGTGAAATTTTTTTTTTACATTTGAGAAATTCCTTCCACCCAAAACCCACAGACTTTGTCTTTTCACAGTAGAGCTTTACTGTCAAACCTAACTGCTGTTAAGTTACCAGTTGCTTGCACTAACCATCTGTTACTCTACAGATGAATAAGGAACTGAATCAAAGGCTTCCTACTTAAAGATTCCCAGTACTACTGTTTTAACTGCAATTAAAATGGAAGCAAACAAGCTTATCTCTCATAAACAATATTATCATACCTATTTAAAAGCTTATTTTTCCTTTCCAACTGATGCTGCATGAAAAATTCATTATTTAACAAATTCAATTAAAATGTCACAAATCTATTTTATTTAGGAAATGAAGTGACAGAAGCAAAAGCAACTTACTAATAAAACACAACCAAAACTAATACAGCAATCTGGTCATAATATAAATGAATAAAAACTCAAATATTTCATACTACATAGAAAGGAAGGTATTCTATTTTCCCTTCAAAATATGCAAGCTGACTTTTAAGTTACATTGTTTCACATGCTCTAATCACAAGTACTACCACATGACTGTTCACTATGTATTTACATAATTATGGTAGTATCTTCATAAGGCTTGAAGCAAACACTAGCTGCTCACAACTAAGATGCAGAGTCAGTTTGAAGCACATTGTCTGCAGCTATCTTACCATAGTTTAAAAAAAAAAAACATATAGAAGAGTGAAACTAGAACCAATGAGACTAATGCATCAAATACATTAACAATATCAAAGGGTTCTTCAGCTTCCAAAGAGCAAAGCATCCTAGAGTTAGTCTAAGAATGCATGCACTTTAAAAATACACATATTACAAAAATAAAAACAGAGAGATACTCCCTTCTAACTGGCAGGAATTTAGAGTTCTGATAATGCAACTGCTACAGTACTCACTCTAACAAGTGAAAATATAGAAAACCTGTTCACTGAAAAGGTGTTAAAGAAAAAACTAACATGCATTTCATCTTATTAAAATGATACATGTATAGGTTACATCTATTCTGAATTTCTTTAAAAGACCAAATTACTTAAAGTTTATTTTAACAAATGATAAAAATACAAAAAAACTTAAAGCAATGTAACATTTAGACTGTGAAACTGTGTTTTAACTTTTATTTTAATTGTCATTCTGTCACTTTGAAAACTTCCATCACAGTTTCATAAATGAATATCACTTGTATTTTATAATAAATATCTGTATGCAGAAGTATGTTTATATTGTCTGCATAAACCTCCCAAAATGGTTGCTCATTTTGGTGTGCATATGCTTATTCTGTTAAAGATTTTTTAATTTTTATTTAATGCTTCAATGTAAAATATGAATAAATTATCCCACACCCACATATTTTTAAAAGCCTGAACATTTTTTAAATGTCTGTTTTAAAAATATATATAGATAACAAGAATTATTGTTTTATCATGATTATATTGCTATCAAATTAATGGACATAAGTGAAAAAAGCTAATCACTTAACAGATAGTCATAAAATAAAAAATGCAATATCATGCACTATAGATTACTAAGAAAGTGCTCATATATAGGCAGCAGATGACGAGTGCAGTACAAGCAGAAAATTCTGGATATATCTTTACATATATCCTTAAATATCATTTTCTTTTATATAATTTCTGTTTTGATTTAAATGCCAGAGAGTTTCAGCTAACATTTAAATTAGTTTTTATTGTGAATTTTCAGTTGTTATAAACCATTACATACCTTCAGAAACTTTCGTGAGGGTGAGAATAATTCTTTCCTTCTATTATATAGTTATAGCACATTAAGTATCTATTAATTTGAGAGATACACTCTGATCTTGAACATATTCAAAATCAAGATCAACATCATGGTAAGATGAAGATTTATGTGGAAGATGCTGCAATACATAAAATCTTTAAACACCATGTAATAGAAAAAAAGACGCCTGTCTGGAAATTGCAGAGTAGTAGATTTGACATTTTACCAAAGGACAGTAACGCTTGAGCTGTTTCCCACAGAACTCTGGATCCAGGTAACAGCAGGCAGGGGAAAAAGCAGCAGTATTTCAAATGTCCATACTCTGATCTGCAACAGACACCACTGTAGGTAAGAAGAAAATCGCATTTTACTTCAGGTAGCGCAAGTCTTTGAAATGAAGGCTCTGTTATTTTTCAAGACTGGAAGGATATCACAGTGTTGATTTTATATACAAAGTAGGATCTGTTCCAGTATACTCTAGTGAAATAATTCACATATGGAGAATAGTTAATTTTGACCTCATGACAAAATCGCCCATATTTCGAGTGGGTTAACTTGTCACCTTCTTCACAAACCACCTATTAAAAGATATGAAACATAATATTAAAAAGCTTGTTAAGATTATAGGAAAAATGCCATCAATGAAAAGTAACTATGTTTATATGAAAAAAACTAGTTTTGCTAAACGTGGACTACAGAACATCTTAAGTTGTTTAGCAAATAGAAGCCTCTTCACAGGTAAGAAATCACATCCATTAAACTCCTAAACTTCCCACTGAGATTAAGAAACCAGTATAAAGTGTTTCCAATTTTTAAAAGATTTAATCTTAAAATCTAGAAGGCAATGTTTCCATAGTCATTATCATTGCTTCAAAGAAACAAAATGGAGAAATGTATATATTCTATTTCTAATGTCTATTCAATTTCTCATAGAGAATTGACTCACAATTACCTAGTAACCAATTACCTTGTGACTTCTGCAAATTTTTATATTCTCATTTAATGATGTTCACTGGGACAGCTTAGCTGGCATGAAGGTTTTTTTAATAATTAAATACTAAATATTATTCTAATGTCTATCGAAGATTTCAGAGTGTCTACTTTAGAGCGCAAGGAGGGGGCCGGTGCTGTGGTGTAGTGGGCTAACCCTCTGCCTACGGAGCCAGCATCTCACATGGGCATCAGTTCGTGTCCTGGCTGCTCTTCTTCCGATTCAGCTCTCTGCTGTGGCCTGGGAAAGCAGTGGAAGATGGCCCAAGTCCTTGGGCCCCTGCACCCACATGGGAGACCTGGAAGAGGCTCCCAGCTCCTAACTTCAGATCGGCTCAGCTCCAGCCATTGAGGCCATCTGGGAAGTGAACCAGTGGATGGAAGACCTCTCTCTCTCTCTCTCTCTCCCCCTGCCTCTCTCTGTAACTCTACCTCTCAAATAAATAAATAAAATTTTAAAAACAAAAGGAGCAAAAGGATGTATCAGCTTAAATATACACCTGACATTAAGTGAAAGGAGAAGCAACGTTACCCTTAAAACTGTACAGAAACGTGGACAGCCAGGAACAGAAAAGGCTCCAGAGAGCAGATACAGTACAGCAGTAATTCTGAATACCCTGCTTTATAAAATTCTATCTCATCTCATCACTAATAAATCAAAGATCAGAGCCATCAAGTACCAAAAGAAAAATTTAAAACACATGCAGCATAAAACAGAGTGTAAAATTAAATGGTCATGAAGAAAGGGAAGGTAGAAATCGTAAAAACGAGCTTCTCACCTCCTAATCAGACAAGAGCTTTGATTATTCAAGAAGAGATAGGAAAAATATTGGCTGCAACCTGAACAGGATATGAACTATGACTCACAAGGAAGTACGCATAAGCTTTTCCTAAGTCATTCTCCCCTGATTTTCCAAGTAGTCAAGGCTTCCACCCCAGCCAACACTATAAAATATACAAACTCTCTGTCGGCCTTATCAGTTACCAGATATACAGCACATGCACTGCAGGCTGAAAGGCAGCTTGGGAAAATAGCTGAAATCAATGAAGAAATTAAAATCTAAATGGGGCTCTGAATACACTTATTTGTGTGGAACAGGAACTCAGTGTACAGGCGCTGTGTAAATTTAGGTTAGGTATTCTTTTTAAATATGAATAAAATTACATGAAATTTACCAACATAATAATATAACAACTCAACTAGTCACTTTGTAGATTACTATAGTACATTAAAATAAAATTATAATACAAATTATGCCATTCTCCTATCAAATGTTGAAACACTCATAGGCATAAGCACAGGCAATGAATAAGGAATTCAGGTATTGGCAAAATTAATTTTCTCTTGCAAAACTGTCAACATGCTTGTACATTGGAAAATACTACTACTTTTAATAAGCATATTTCATTATTACATATTCCTATACTCTTAAGCTTTAAAAATAAAGTTTCAAGATTTTAAGATTAAGTAATTTTTCTTAAGAAAAAAAAATCCAACTTTCTAAATAGTTACTTACATGGCCATTTGCAACATCCAGTAAGTCTTTAACCCTACAGCCTCTCATTGTTCCCACCTCATTGCAGATGGCATCCTCTACAATTAGGTAATTAGCCTTGTAGGATGTCAGTATTTTATAAATATCCTCAGCAGATCGTTTTGAATAGATTTGATAGATCTGAAAGAATACAACAAAAACCAATTTTAAAAAACATTTATAATTCATGTTTATGCAAACATAATCATCTTCTATGTTCTTAGTACTGTCTTTAGAAAATAGATATTCACGTTTCAAAAATTTTTATATATTTCAAAGAGAACAGGGGCTGGTGTTGTGGAGCAGCGGGTTAAGCCTCCACTTGCAGTGCTGGCATCTCCTGTGAGTGCCAGTGCAAGACCCAGCTGCTCCACTTCTGATCCAGCTCCCTGCTAATGTGCCTGGGAAAGCAGAAGAGATGGTTCAAGTGTTTGGGCCCCTGCACCCATGTGGGAGACCCGAAGAAGAACCTGGCTCCTGGCTCCTGGCTCTGGCCTGGCCTACCCCTTGGCTGTTGCGGTCATTTGGGAGTGAACCGGCAGATGGAATATTCTCTGTGTATCCCCCTCCCTCTCTGTAACTCTGTCCCTCAAAAAAATAAATAAATCTTTAAAAAAAAATGCAGAAATGGACTGGACGATGAAGAGCTCTGTCAATCTTTCAATACAAATTAAAAAATATTGGGAGCTCAGATGCAGTTGTTTTTTACCTTCAGATACGAAGTTACCATTTAAATCAATATCAAACATTCAAAATAATATACTCTATAAATCATGGTGGGAAATGCCCAGCCCACAGACCCTATGAAGCCTGTAAAATCATTCAGTCTGGCCCTGCCAAAGCAACCACAGGCAGAACTTGAAATTCAATACATCCACAGCAGGCTAATTTTTAAGTTGATACTTTTGTATGGCCTGCTAATGATGTTATAAATACCCAATGGTCCTTAGTAGAAAAAAAGGTTCTCCACTCTTGTGTCTATAATTAATTAGACACCATTCTAATTTTATACTAAGTTATTAATAAAGGCCCATACCAATTAACAAAAAAATTTCAGCTTAGAAAGACAAAGTGTACTAACATATTAGTTGATAGCCTTCCTTCAATAATAATTTGATTGAAAATGATGCATTTTCTCTTTTTAAAAAAATCAATCAATTTATTTGAGAGATCAAGAGATACACAGATAAAGAGCCCCTAGGCTGCCATTGTGGTATAGAAGGTTAAGCAAGGCCAGCATCCAATATGGGCACCATTTCAATTCCTGGATGCTCCACTTCCAATCCAGCTCCTTACTAATGTGCTTGGGAAAGCAGTGGAAAATGGCCCAGGTACTTGGACCTCTGCCACCCAAGTGGAAACCTGGATGGAGTTCCAGACTCCTGGCTTTGGCCTGGCCCAGCCCTGGCTATCTGGGGAATGACCAGTGGGTGGAAGACTGGAAGATTTCTTATTCTCTCTTTAACTCTGCCTTTCAAACAAATAAATTTAATTAAAACAAACAAACAAACAAAAACAGAAAGCTCTCAACAACTGGTTCATTCAACAAATACCCACAATGGGCCGAGTGGTCCAGAGACAAAAATTCAGTCTAGGTCTCCTATGTAGGTGGTGGGGATCCAACTACTTAAGCAATTATCACTGCTTCCCAGAACTTCCCCAAGAAATGCTAAGAAGCTGGAATCAAACCCAGGTACTCCAAAATGGCACATGGGTAACCATGCGTCTTAACCACTAAGCTAAATGCCCACCCCAACAATGACATTTTACATTTTTTTAAACAACATTTCCCTTTGTGAAATACTGCACATCAGTCCCTTTGATACATTGTGAAAAATTAAATGTTTCCCCTAGAAATACACAAATGCTTCTCATAAAACAATGAACTTAATTTTGGCTCTCCTCTTGTAAATGCATTAGACAACTTTTAAGAACTAAAGCTAAAAATCTCTTCTAAAATTGTTTCAATTTTCCTAGCTCAATTAGGAACATACATAGCACCACAGAACTATTCTAAGAGTGCAGGAAAAAACATCCAAATATAGAATTTTAAATGCCTTACATTTTCATTTCTCTTGAGAAGATCGTCGTCATTGTAAACAGGCAAGCTTGTCACCATCCATCCAGTGCATAATTTAATGGCACCCATTAACTGTGGGCTCCCTGCAAACACAGCAGCAAGTGGGGCTTGCCTTCTGCAAAGAACCAAAAGATTTAACAATGAAAAAGCAAGTACATATTAGATCACTGACTTCTAGCACTGACTTCCTAAAATACCAGGAAATTTACAATATATTATACACTTAAATTTCAATGTCAGTTTTCACTTTTAATTTATAGATTCAATAAAAAAAGTAAGTACCTACTCTGTGTTAGGCACTGTTTTTTTTTTTTTTTAAACATGAGTGGAGTGTTATCTGGTAATAATGTTATTCCAAAATAATGTGAAGGGAAAAAATACAGATTAAGCAGACAGTCAAGAATATGCTATTTTAAATACGATGGCCAGCTCAGAGGTGACACTGTGAATTCTCACATTCAACTTCTGCAAATATTAACCACCACAACCCAACTCCTTCCAGATCCAACTATCCTCCCACTCCTTCCCTATCTATCCATGTGTCTGTCTCCAAAAAATATGGAGGACTTCTCCACTCTGATAGATGTCACTTACTACCTACAAGGAGGTCTCCAAGAACTGATCTAATGCCTTTATTGTTTTGTTTTTTGTTTTGTTTTGTTTTTTTTTTGGAGAGGCAGAGTGGACAGTGAGAGCCTTTATTGTTTTATTCACTCCCTATATTCAACACCCGTATACTATGTTCCAGGGTTTGTGCCAGTATTTGGGCCCCTACAACCTACATGAAAGACCCAGATGGAGCTCTTCACTCCGGCCTGATTTAACCCCAGCTGTTGCAGCCATTTGGAGAGTGAGCCAATGAAGATTCTCTCTCTGTAACTGCCTTTCAAATAAAACCAATAGATCTTGAAAAACAAACAAACAAACAAAAAAGCAGAATACTACACCACAGTAACATAAATGTCCAATAGTTCAGTGCCAACCATTCAGGCCTTTGCTGTTTTTGTAGAACACTGTGGTACCGGGCAGGTGTTAAGGAACAGTAGGTTGAGCTGCTGCTTAGGACACCCACATCCCTTAGAATGCCAGCTGAGTCCTGGCTTCTCAGCTTCTGATCCAGCTTACTACTAATGCATCCTGGGAGGCAGCAGAGAATGGCCCAAATACTTGAGTTCCAGCCACCCATGTGGGAGACCCAGCTGGAGTTTTTGGCTCCTGGCTTCATTGGCATAGTCTAGCTATGGCTGTTGTAGGCATCTCAGGAATGAACCAGTAGATAGAAGATTCTCATTCTCTCATTCATTCTTCTCTCTCTCTCTCCCCCTCCCTCCCTTCTTCCTACTTTCCTCCTTCTCTGTCACTCTGCCTTTCAAATCCTTAAAAAAAGAAAAATAAGCCCTATTTCTCATTTATTTCTTTTTCTCCACTTTGTGCCGTTTTACTGTTTTGCAGCAGAATGCTCAACATAAAGCATAATTACAAATACTCGGCTATGTCAAAGAGGAGCCGGGGGAGGCATTTGGCAGAGCAATTAAGATACCATTTGGGACATCCACATCCCATACTGAAGTATCTGGGTTCAAGCCTCAGTTCCACTTTTGATTCTAGCTTCCTGCTATGAAGAAGCAGCAAGTACTTGAGTCTCTGCCACCCATGTGGAAAACTAGATTTAATTCCCAGCTCCCAACTTCAATGTGGTCCAACCCTGCCTGTTGTGAGCACTTGGAAAATACATCAGTAGATAGGAGATCTGTCTATCTTTCAAATAAATCATAAATTAAAAAACAATTTTTAAAAGAGGAGCTAGTGAAAAAAAAAAGGAGCTAGTGCTTAAGTACAAACAGGAGACATTGTTCTTCTTCTTCTTTTTTTTTTTTTAAATAAATAATGAAACACAACTCAAGTCCCATAGCATCTGATCTCTAGGTTTGCATGGTAGAGCTATCCTGCCTGTGCACCTGCAATGACATCAATATTCTTAGCCCCTAGTAATCAATCCATGGATCTGGAGCGCTAATAGTGAAACATAATCACTATGAGTCCCTTTTCTAGGGCCTTCCAAGTCCTCTACAGTAATGGTCTGGCCAGGACTCAAATGGCCTGTAACAGGTACTGATTCTCTTGGTCCCCACTTATTCTCATTTCCATATTGCTATCCTATAAACCTAGTCCTCCTTTCTAGAGACACCGCTGTCTTTTCCCCCACTTTTTCCTGGATTTTTTAGATGATGCTTCATTCCTTTTTAATGTTTTTATTTTTAAAGATTTATTTATTTATTTGAAAGGCAGAGTTACAGAGAGGTAGAGGCAGAAGTTGGTTCACTCCCCAAATGGCCACAGTGGCTGGACCTGGGCCAATCCAAAGACAGGAGCCAACAGCTTCTTCCAGGTCTCCCACGTGGGTGCAGGGGCCCAAGCAGCACTTGTGCCATCTTCTGCTGCTTTCCCAGGTGCATTAGCAGGGAGCTGTGTCAGAAGAGGAGCAGCTGGGATTTGAATTGGCAGCCATATGAGATGCTGGCACCACAGGTGGCAGCTTTACCCACTATGCCACAATGCTGGCCCTTCATGGTTTTATTTCTTTCATATCTTTAATAATTTCCAATGTAGTTGTTTCAATCCATGACTGGTTACAAAAATGACTGCAATAATTCCTCTCTATGGTCATGGATTTTGAGGGACCTGTAATCTTGACCTTGTGACTTGTTTTGGCCAAAGGGCAGTAACAAACATAACGTAGGCACAGACTTAAAACATGCTCAACAGTGAGACTGGCCCTCTCTTGTTGCTTTTGGGAACTCTACAACCACACCTTGTGAACAAGCCCTGGCTAACATGCTAGACACATGGTCAAGTCAATTTGCTCTCTTCAGTTGACAACAAGCCAACCCCAAATATTAGAGAGAGCCCATGCCAGACAACCCAATCCCAGCTAAGCTGGCCCAGACCAGAAAAATCCTCCCCACTGATCCTAAAATGATGTGAAATAATAAATGTTTAATATTTGTAAGCCACTAAGTTTACTGGCAGTCTGTTATGCAGCAAGAACTAAATGACACAAAGAAATGGTGTTTTTAGAAACTGCCAGAAGTCTAATTTCATGGCTTATTACAAACAACAGCTGATACTTGCTGTGCTGAATTGTGTCCTGTGTGCCTGGTAATTTTGAGCTTACCCTCGTGTTACTTCATGTGTGGAATCCTGTGCAGCCTGGGTTGAGAATGTATCAGAGACCCAGACCAGCCCAGCACCACGTTTTATACTGATTTCTTGATTTGGAGTTCTCTGGATTACATAAATTAAATTTCAAACTACAAACCTATGTGGATTCAGAGGCACAAATCCAGAAGGGAACCTTGAAGAACAAGAGCTGAAGCAAAAGTATCTGCTTTATTATCAATGTCCTCTGCCACTTAACAGATATTTTGCTGTTCCCTGTCCCTCCTTTCCCTGTGTAGCATTTTGAGGGTTCCTGAGTCACATACGTGTGTGTTGTGGGAGAGGATCTCCATTTCAATTTCCTGTCTTCACAGTCTCAAGAACACATCATCCACCCTGTGTGGGCACGGAAGTCTAACCCCTAGTTACCAAGATGAGCAATTTACCTCCTACTTTGGACAAAAGAAGCATCCTCCTGACTATCTAAAGAAAAGGGTATCTGTTTCTTTTGATTCCACATTTACAGGTGTTAGACAGTGAGACTTTAAAATCTTGTACTTACTAATGTAATATTTTCAAGTTTAATTAGAAAATTGTAATTTAAGCCGGCGCCGTGGCTCAATAGGCTAATCCTCCACCTTGCGGCGCCGGCACACCGGGTTCTAGTCCCGGTCGGGGCGCCGGATTCTGTCCCGGTTGCCCCTCTTCCAGGCCAGCTCTCTGCTGTGGCCAGAGAGTGCAGTGGAAGATGGCCCAAGTGCTTGGGCCCTGCACCCCATGGGAGACCAGGATAAGAACCTGGCTCCTGCCATCGCATCAGCGTGGTGCGCTGGCCGCAGCGGCCATTGGAGGGTGAACCAACGGCAAAGGAAGACCTTTCCCTCTCTGTCTCTCTCTCTCACTGTCCACTCTGCCTGTCAGCCTGTCAAACAAGAAAAAAAGAAAATTGTAATTTAGAGTCCAATCAAAAGCCAAATATCCCTCCAAACACAGGATAAAATTCTTCAGTTTTATGAGAAGAATTGGGAAAAGTATTATTTTTCCTAAATCCATTAGACAGCATGTAATGATTGATTAATAGCTTAGCAACAGTCTTGGCAATTGAATCCTTACTTTATCCAGGTCATAAGTTCCACTGTATCTGGATCATAGAATTCCTGTAGTTCTGTTAATTCTGTCATTAATCTTGGGAAGAACTAAAATGCAAAGCAAAACCCCCAAAAGGTATATGTAAATAACTAGAAAATTTAAAACTGCTTCAGATAACTTCAAAATACTGAGAGTAATTTAAAGTCAACAATGTTATAACATTATTTTCATAGAAATAAAAAAAAAGACTTTGACTGACTTGCTCATTCTTCTCAATACAAATGATCTATTTTGCAATTTATTCACTGTCTAGACTAAATATTTTCATCATTACAAAACAACTGTTAGTATTTTTCATGCACATAGATACAAAAGAGCAAGTAAATTTCAGGTAAAAAAAAATTTGCAGGCTTATTGCCAACTGGTTTCATGCTATATATAATATGTCAAATAATTTTTATCATTTTAGATACTAAAATTTTAGAGTTGCCAAATGTTTAATATCTATTTAGCAATTTCCTCTGCTAATTATAAGCTGAAATAACAATAGCACTAGAATACAGATGGCATTCCAAAAATTTTAACTCTTCTATTATATTCCTAATGATAAGAAAATTAAGAACTGAGGATGTTACACTTTGTTAGAACAGCGTCTCAATACAGTTTTCTAATTATACACAGAAATTTATCACCACTTTCTAGCTAAAGTATAGTTTAATAATATAAAAATCTAATTTCCTTACCTCTTTCCATAAACTGAGACCTATTATAGTGGGCACAGCCATGCTCAGAATAAGAGCCTAAAATATTAAAGTAAAATGGTTATGGACAAATACAATTTCAGAGGCTACTTTAGGGATACTAGACACTGACTCCCTGACCGAATGCATATCCTTTAAGAAAGTGAAGTCAGAGGGGAACCTAGATAACAAAATGAGCTAGCTTAAGACTAATGAGTTTCATATAATTAAATTGGAGGTAAAATGAGACATATACATTCACTATATAAATTTAAGGCAGAACATTAAATAAGAAATGCTCAGAGCAATATTTAGAATAGCAAATCAATATTTAAAAAATGTTCCAGGAACTCATGTTATGAAGAACTTACAAAGGATACTACACTGCTGTATGAAAAAATAATAATAAAAATAATGAATTAATTAGAAAAATAGCTGATTTATGTCAATATACTATTATATTAAAATAAGAACTTGGGAATTCTGAGACTAAGACTGACAAAATACAATATAATTATTATTAAACAAAATTCACCATCTTTCTGCCAAAACCAATTCTCCCAATTGTTCCGTGTCTTTTGGTGACCTAATGATTCACAGTCACTACTACAAACTGGAAACCTCCATGCTTTCTCCTTCCTATACTTAATCAATCACTAGGTCTTATCAGTCTTCTTTTGTAACTTTCTCATTGCAATATAGCATAGTATTTAGTAGGACTGGTTTTGAAGACAGAAAAACCTGCTTCCACATCTATAAACACGCATTTCAAACAATCGATTTAATCTTAGTTTTTTTGTTTATAATATAGAGATAACAAAATCCAGCATTAAGCAGCATGTGGAATGATTAGAACAGAACCTGATATATAGTGAAAATGCAATAAATTGGAAATTCTATGATTTTCTCCACCAGGGCTTCCTTCCTGATTTGTCTTGTCATTAGACTGAATTAACAGAAAATCAAGTCTGATTCCTGACTCTCCATAAGGCATACAAATCTCCATGCCTTCCTTCCTGACTCCGAGAGTCGCCACAACCCAGTCTCCTCCATTTCTCTAGTCCTGTTTCCTAACCAATCCTATTGCATGTGCTTTTTCTGTCCCCTTTTCTATTCCCTTTAATTACATACTGTTCTTTGCCTATCTCTGTTTATTCCTTCTACCATGAATACCCTTCTTTCCCCTTCATTTGCCTAATAACTCATTATCTTTCAGGTCTCAGATTGGAAAGTCTTCTTTCTGCCCTGAGTCCTAGAAGCATCCTATGAGTACTTCTTACTATCTATTTGTATGTCTAGGAGACTATAACCTACATGATAAAATTAACATTTATCTTTGTATTCCAAACATACAACATATAATATGCACAGTATAAATTTTCCATTCATATGGAAAACATAATTCTAAATCAAACCAAGAAAGTATTGTAAAAAATTAATTCCTAATGACAACCCCTATTATTGATTTATTTGAACATTCACCTTTTTTTAAAGAGTTGTATAGATTGAAATGCATTACTTTCATGCACGGATTATAAAAAAACGTTTTTTACAAGACAGATTTTCCTACCCATCAGTCATTATGTGATTCACTCATGCTTTTTCAATTATATTCAGTGTGTCATTAGCATTCAATTTTATATAACTGGAAGAGAAAGAAGCACTTAACACAAAATAACAGCAACTCACCAACAATATCGGGTGCACAGTTCTTAATCGCAGCCACTTGAAAAGTGTCATCCAAAGTTCAGGAGAACACACGCCAAACGCTGCCAACATGCACATATAAGGTGTCCAGATGTACTTCAGACTGGAAAACAGAGACAGTCACATATGGAATATCCTGAAAACATCTTGATTATTTCCCTTTTCTTTTCTGAGTTCTTTCCAACTACCAACTAAAATATCAATATTTAAGGGAGAATGAAAACTTTCTCTAGTTCAGAGAGATTGTTATCCAGTTCTAAGGAAGACACATGGGTTAGCAAAGCAGGATAAAATGAAAGCATTAATACTGATGAATGTGGGGGATGGCGCTGCGGCGCAGTGGGTTAACACCCTGGCCTGAAGCACCAGGATCCCATATGGGCGCCGGTTTGAGACCCGGCTGCTCTACTTCCTGTCCAGCTCTCTGCTATGGCCTGAGAAAACAGTAGAAGATGGCCCGGGCCGGCGCCGCGGCTCACTAGGCTAATCCTCCGCCTAGTGGCGCCGGCACCCCGGGTTCTAGTCCCGGTCGGGGCGCCGGATTCTGTCCCGGTTGCCCCTCTTCCAGGCCAGCTGTCTGCTGTGGCTCGAGAAGGCAGTGGAGGATGGCCCAGGTGCTTGGGCCCTGCACCCCATGGGAGACCAGGAAAAGCACCTGGCTCCTGCCATCGGATCAGCGCGGTGCGCCGGCCGCGGCGGCCATTGGAGGGTGAACCAACGGCAAAGGAAGACCGCCCAAGTCCTTGGGCCCCTGCACCAACATGGGAGATTGGGAAGAAGCTCCTGGCTCCTGGCTTCGGATCGGCACAGCTTCAGCTGTTGAGGCCATCTTGGGGGTGAACCATTGCATGGAAGACTTCTCTCTCTCTCTCTCTCTGCCTCTCCTTTCTCTGTGTAACTCTGATTTTCCAATAAATAAATAAATCTTAAAAAAAAATATTGATAAGTGTGTAGCAAACTTGTATTGTTTGAGAGAAAATAAACCGATAACTCTTTCAGAAGGCAATTTGGCAGAATTTTTGCAAATTTAAAATACCTGAGGCTGGCGCTGTGGCATAGTGGGTAAAGTCACTGCTTGCAGGGCTGGCATCCCATATGGATGCCGGTTCGCGTTCTGGCTGCTCCACTTCTGATCCAGCTCTCTCCTATGGCCTGGGAAAGCAGTAGAGGATGGCCCAAGCACTTGGGCCCCTGCACCCACGTGGGAGACGCGGAGGAGGCTCTTGGCTCCTGGCTTCAGATGGGTGCAGCTCTGGCCATTGTGGCCAATTGGGGAATGAACCAGCAGAGGGAAGACCTCCCACTCTCTCTCTCTCTGCCTCTCCTTCTCTGTCTGTGTAACTATTTCAAATAAATAGATAAATCTTAAAAAAAAATTTGAAATACCCTAAGATAGGCAATGTCAGTTCTAATAACCTAGCTTACAGATAAGGTACTTCAAAAAGTTCGTGGGAAATAGAAATCAAAAGATTATTTTGGTGTAAAATAATTTTTAAAATATTTTGAAATCTGTACATACATTTTAAAAGATTATTTTCAAATATTTATTTCTTTATTTGAAAGGCTGAGTTACAGATGGAAAAGAGTGAGGGAGAAAAGAGAGAAAGAGAGATCTCCTATCTGCTGGTTCACTCCCAAAATGACTACAATGGCTGGGGCTCCCCTAGGCCAAAGCCAGGAGCCTGGAACTCCATCAGGGTTTTCCATGTGTGTTGCAGGGGTCCAAGTACTTGGCATCTTCTGCTGATTTCCAGGTGCATTAGCAGGAAACTAGATCAAAAGTGGTGGCAGTTTAAATGGCTGTACCACAACCCCAGCCCCCATAGATAGTTTTATATAATACATATTTATTTTCCACGAACTTTTTGGAAATTCCTGTATGCATAAATTTCAAAATTTTGCACTTATCTTTAAATGCTATTTTCTATGAATTTTTAAGAAATATTTATTTATTTATTTGAAAGGCAGAGTTACAGAGAGGCAGAGAGACAGAAATCTTCCATCCACTGGTTCACACCCCAAATGGCCACAATGGCCACGGCTAGACCAGGCCAAAGCCAGGAGCCATGAGCTTCTTCTGGTTCTCCCACGTTAGTGCAGAGAGGAGCCCAAGGCTTAGACCATCTTCTGTTACTTTCCCAAGTGCATTAGCAGGGAGCTGGATTGGAAGTGGAACCAGGACTCGAACTGGTGCCCATATGGGATGCCAGCACTGTAGGTTGTGGCTTTACCCACCACACCACAGTGCTGAATCCTCTACGAACTTGTTGAAGTGCCCTCATATCTGATGAGACTTAATTTCCAAAATATATGAAGAACTTCTACAGTGCCAGCACTGTGGAGCAGCAGGTTAAGGCAACGCTGGCATCTCATATGGGCACCAGTTTGAGTCCTGGCTGTTACACTTTTGATCCAGCTCCCTGCTAATGCACCTGGGAAAGCAACAGAAGACTGCCCAAGTATTTGGGCCCCTGCCAACTATGTGGGAGACCCAGATGGAGCTCCTGGCTCTAGCCTGGTCTATTCCAGCATTACAGCCATTTAGGGAGTGAACCAGCAAATGGAAGATCTCTCTCTCTCTCTCTGTAATTCTGCCTTTCAAATAAATGTATAAATCTTAAAAACAAAACAAAACAAAAACCTACAACTCTCAGCACCATTCACGTCTACCTCACTCATTAAAGTCTAATTTTATTTTTGTACGATTAACATTTGCCATTTCCATTAGGTCATGAGTTTCACAGGGTAAGACCCTACATCCACTTTTGGCTACCACTGTATATCCAGCACCTAACATAATGCTTAGATCTTGGAAGACATTCAAAAGTTCTTGAACAAATGAATAAGTAGGCAAATATTGGCTCTGTGTACTACAAACATCTTTGTAAACTCCCGTTGTATTAAGAAAGTTTATAGGTTTTGAGTTTTATAAAGTTTTTTAATGTATTCTTGAATGTATCCACATATCATTAACAACCACAATCTCTATAAAAACAGAGCAAATAAAGTATACTTACCCTTCTATAACCATTGCAAGAGAACCCAATAAAACAGTATGAATTATGTGATAAATTACTTCTGGCCTTTCTCCAATTCGTCCATCTTCAAGAGTAATACTTTCTTTCACAGACTTACCACTACAAAAAACAAATTTATTTTTAAGATCCGGAAAACATTTATTTAAAAAAATCAAAGACCTGTTGTTTATAAACATTGAAAGCCATATTTGAAAAGTTTTTTTGCATATATATTTATTTGAAGGCAGAGAGGGGCTGGCGCTTTGGTGCAACAGTTTAAAACCCTGTCCTGCAGTGCCAGCCTCCCACATGGGCACCAGTTGGCGCGCCAGCTGCTCCACTTCTGATCCAGCTCCCTGCTGGTGTGCCTAGGAAAGCAGCGAAGGATGGCTCACCCTGCACCCACCTGGGAGATCCAGAAGAATCTCCTGGTTCCTGGCTTTGGATCGGCTTAGTTCCGGGCATTGCAGCCATTTGGAAGTGAACCAGTGGTTGAAAGAACTCTCTCTGTCTCTACCTCTCTCTGTAACTCTTTCAAATAAATAAAGTAAATCAAGAAAGAGAAGAGAGGAGAAGAGAGGAGAAGAGAGGAGGAGAGAGGAGGAGAGAGGAGGAGAGAGGAGGGGAGGGGAGGGGAGGGGAGGGGAGGGGAGGCAGAGAGATTGAGAGAGATCTCCATCTACTGACTCACTCCCCAAATGCCTGCAATAGTCATAGGCCAGGCCAAAGCCAGTAGCTGGGAATTCAATTCAGGTCTCCCAAGTTGGTGACAAGGACCTACTATTTGAGGCATGACCTGGTGCCTCCCAGGGTATGCATCAGCAGGAAGCTGGACTAGAAAGTGGAGCCAGTCAATAGGCTAATCCTCCGCCTGCGGCACCAGCACACCGGGTTCTAGTCCCAGTTGGAGCGCCGGACTCTGTCCCGGTTGCTTCTCTTCCAGTCCAGCTCTCTGCTGTGGCCTGGGAAGGCAGTGGAGGATGGCCCAAGTCCTTGGGCCCTGCAACCGCATGGGAGACCAGGAGAAGCACCTGGCTCCTGGCTTCGGATCAGCGCGGTGCGCCAGCTACAGCGGCCATTGGAGGGTGAACCAACGTAAAAAAGGAAGACCTCTTTCTCTTCTCTTTCTCACTGTCCACTCTGCCTGAGAAGGAAAGGAAAGGAAAGGAAAGGAAAGAAAGGAAAGGAAAGAAAAGAAAAGAAAAGAAAAGAAAAGAAAAGAAAAGAAAAGAAAAGAAAAGAAAAGAAAAGAAAAGAAAAGAGGAGCCAGGACCCAAACCAATGCACATCAAACAACAGCTTACCCTGATGCACCAAACTCTCATCTACTATACCTGAAATTTAAAATTTCTTCATAAGGAAAAAAATAGGTGGGTCTTAAGTATATTCTGTTAATCAATTACCTAGCATATACTTCTAAGTCTTTACATATGAATTTGAAAACCTTAAGACAGCTGACTGTGAAGATTAAATATGAATTTTCAGGGTAATATAAAAGATTTTTAGATTTTTAAAAGATCAATTATGATTCACCTAATAAATACTTAGTCAATACGGTTAAATCACAAAATGAGTAACTAACATCTCAAAATTAAGAAATTAATGAGAGGCAGGCATTTGGAACAGTGGTTAAAAACAACCACTTGGGACACTCATATCCCATTCCAGAGTGCCTGGGTTCAAATCCCAGCTCCACTCCTGTTTCCCATTTCCTGCTAAGTACATCCTGGGAAATGGTAGGTTATGATGGCTTAAGTTCTCGGATCCCTGACATCCATGTAAGAGACCCAAATACATTTCCAGCTCCTAGCTGCAGCATGCCCCAAGCTGTTGAGAATGCTGAGTGTATTAGCAGATAGACTGTTCTCTGCCTTTCAAAATAAAGTAAGTAAATAAATACTTATTTCCTTTCAAACATGACTGAAATGTTAAAGAATGGGGTTGGCATTGTGGTGCAGTGGGTTAAGCTGCTGCTTAGGTCATTCTCAGCCCATCTATGAGTACTGGCTCCAAGCATGGCTCCTCTGCTTCCATCTAGCTTCTGCTAATGCATCCTGGGAAGCAGCAGATAATGCATCAAGTGCTTGGGCTCCTGCCGTGTATGAGGGCTACCTGGATGGAATTCCAGGCCGCTGGCTTCAACATGGCCTAGTCTAGGCTGCTGCAAGCATTTGAAGAGTGAAGTAGTGAATGGAAGATCGCTTCCTCTCTCCCTCTATTGCTCTTTCAAACAGATGAAAATCAATAAACTCTTTTTAAAAATATTTTATTTTATTTGAAAGAGTTACAGAGAGAGAAAGAGAAAGAGAGAGAGAAGCCTTCCATCCGCTGGTTCACTCCCCAAATGGCCACAACGGCTGGAACTGGGTGGAACCAAAGACAGGAGCAAGGAGCTTCTTCTAGGTCTCACATGCAAGCGCAGGGGCCCAAGCATTTGGGCCATCTTCTACTGCTTTCTGAGAGCTGGACTGGAAGTGGGACAGCCAGGAATCAAATGCGCACCCATACAGGATGCCACCACTACAGGCCAGGGTTTTAACCTGCTGTGTCACAGTGCCAGCCCCTTAATAAACATTTTGAAAAACATATAAAAGAACAAACTTTAGAGAAATCTAAAATCACTGATAGGGGCCAGCACCGTGGCGCAGTAGGTTAAGCCGCCTCCTTCAACATTGGTATCCTACACAGGCGCCAGTTCTATCCCTGGCTGCTCAGCTTCCCTGCTAATGCACCTGGGAAAACAGCACAGTACGGCCAAACTGCTTGGGCCCCTGCACCCACATAGGAGAATGGAAGGAAGCTCCCGGCTCTGGCCAGGCTTAACCCTAGTCATTGGGGCCATTTGGGGAGTGAACCAAAGGATGGAAGATCTCTCTCTCTCTCTCTCTCTCTCTGTACCTCTGCCTTTCAAATAAATAAATAAATCTTCTTAAAAATATAAAACAAAATAAAATAAAATCACTGATAATACTACCTTCATTTAAATTAAACAAAGAGAGATTGCTATCATGGCACAGTGGGTTAAACTGTGTCTTTCGACCCCCACATCCCACATCAGAGTGCCAGTTCAAATCCCAGCTGCTCTACTTCAGATCCAACTTGCTGCTAATACATCTGGGAAAGCAGAAGATGGCCTAAGTATCTGGACCCGTAGCACCCATGTGGGAGTCCAGGACAGTGTTCCCGGCTCCTGGCTCCAGGCTGGTCCAGACCTGGCTATTATGGCCATTTGGGGAATGAACTAGGGAATGGAAGATCTCTGTGTTTCCCTTTCTCTGTCATCCTACCTTTCATATAAGTAAATCTTTAAAAAACAATTAAACAGAAGAAATTATTCTTACAATAAGTAAACATCTGAATAAATTGTGAATGAGCCTGTAAAAGCTTACCTGATTATTTAAATAACACTCATTTGTTACATTTGGACACTACATATTTAGATGTACAAAGCTAAATTTGAATTTTTCTAATCAACTTATAATGATATTTTAGCTTTAAAAAACATATTGGAAGGATATAAAAGCAGTGTGATTGTGTAATAACTTACTTAATTCTCCTAAAAATAACTTGCACCATAGAAAGAAGACAAATAGTTAACACTAAAATATAGAAAGGTAATAAAGAAGACTGTGTTAGTCGCAAAAAAAAATCTTGAGATGGTGTCTGCAGGGATTCTTGACAGAGAAGCCAATTCATTGTAAAATTCCTACAGAAGACAAAAAAGCATATTAAAGTTATAGTGTTTTCAACTACCGAACATGAAAATATGTTCTTTAATCTCAATAAAACCTAAGACAAAGGATATTTCCTAAATCCATTTCCTTATAACAGCAAGGTCCTATCCTCTATAATGAAGATAATAGTAGCAGTAACCCTCATGAAGAAAGCATATATACTGTCATCAAAACTGTTAAACAATCAAGATAAGTGTAAAAATGCTTTTTAATATCAACTAATTTGACTGTTTCTGAAACCCAATATAGGTTTTTAAGGAGTTTTGATTTCTATTTTTATCTAGAAGACAACAAAAAATTCAACTAGCCAAACTCTACATCTGTACTGTCCAATATGGTAGCTACTACCTGCTTGTGGATACTGAACACTTCAAATTGCTTAATTCAAATGGAGAGATACTTTAATTATAAAATAGAGCTGGGATTTCAAAGAATAAAAGAATGGAAAGAAAGAATATCTCATTAACAGTTTCTGCATTGTTTACAATAATATATTGAGGAGTGGGCATTGTGATATAATGGGTTAAGTCACCACTTGTAAGGCTAGCATCCTGTCTGAGTCCCGGCTGCTCTGCTTCTCATTCAGCTCCTTGCAAATGCACCTGGGAAGGCAGCAGAAAATGTGCCTGGGCTCCAGCCCCCCATGCAGAAGACCAGGGTGAAGTTCCTGCCTCCTGTTTCTGGTCTAACCTAGACCCAGCTGTGATAGCCATTTTGGGGAATGGATGCCAGCAGATGGAAGATCTCTCTCTCGTTCTCTCTCTCGCTCTCTCTACACACACACACCCACCCCGCCCTCCACACAACACACTCACTCTCATTCTGTATTTCAAGCATATAAATAAATCTTCAAAAAATTTTTTGATATATTTGATTAAAGATGATGATTAATGATTAAAACTAATTTTATTTTTTACTTTAAAAATTTTTTATTTATTTTTATCTGCTTGAAAGGCAGAGCAAAAAAGAGATTCACACACACAGCAGAGATCTTCCATCCACTGGTTTTGTTCCAATCACAGGAGCTGCCAGGAACTCAATTCAACTTAGGTCTCCCATGTGGGTGGTAGGGACCCAATTATTTGAGTCATTACCACTACTCCCAGTGTCCGCAAGAAGCTGGAATCAGGAGTGGAGCCAGGACTGAAACAAAGGTACTTTGATATAAGACACACACATCTTAACCACTAGGCCAAACACCTGCCTCAGACAATTTATATTGATTGCCTCCTGTCAGGCCCATATATAAGCCTGGAAAAGACATGGTCCCTACCTTTATGGAGCACATGGCTTCTTAAAGAATTCTTTTATCTTGATGGACATACATACATGGTTTACACATAGAGGAATTCTCCACCGTTTAAACCATGTCAAACACTTCATTAACTGTGATATATCACAACATGAAATTCGTTGTATATTATCTATGATCTCATATAATCACTGGTAAGCTACTAATGCATGTTATAACTAGAGAAGCTTGTGGATAAATATATCTCCTATGTTATGCAAGTAGAATCTATTATTACATTAAATCTTTTTTTCATTTTAGATTAATACATAAATAAAACATTTAAAAACAACAAAAAGGGCTAGCATTATGGCACAGTGGGCTAAGTCACCACCTGGGACACATGTAAGCACTGGTTCGAGTCCCAGCTGTTCCACTTCTGATTCAGCTCCCTGCCACTGCACCTGAGAAAGCAGCAGAGGATGACTCAGACACATGGACTCCTGTATCCACATGGGAGACTAGATGGAGTTCCAGGCTGCTGGATTCAGCCCAGTCCAGCCCTGGCCTCTGCAGCCATTTAGGGAGTGAACTACCAGATTTAAGATCAATCACTCTCTCTCTCTCTCTCTTCCTGTACTCTTCCTGTAACTCTAAATAAAGCAAAGTTAACTGGATCCCTGCTACCCACATAGGAGACCTAGAAGAAGCTCCTGGCTCCTGGCTTTGGCCTGGCTCAGCCTTGGCCATTGCAGCCTCCTGGGGAATATACCATGGATGGAAGATATCGCTCTCTCTGTCTCTACCTTTCTCTGTGTAACTGACTTTCAAATAAATAAATAACTTTTTAAAAAAGATTTATTTATTTATTTGAAAGGCAGAGTTACAGAGAGAGTGAGAGGGAGAGACAAAGAGATTTTCCATCCTCTGATTCTTCACTCTAATGGACGCAATGGCCGGAGCTGGGCTAGTCCAAAGCCAGGAGCCAGAAGCTTCTACTGGATCTCTCACACAGGTGCAGGGCCCCAAGCTCTTGGAGCACCCTCTGCTGCTTTCCCAGGAGCATTAGTGGGGAGCTGGTTGGGAAGTAGAGCAGTTGAGACTTGACTCGGCGTCCAAATGGTTCACTAGCACCATAGGCAGCAGCTTAACCTGCTACGCCACAGTGCTAACCCCATAAATAAATCTTTTAAATAAATAAATAAGCAAATCAAAGTAAAATAATAATAGTAATAAAATAATAAAACAAAAATAAAGGCACATTATTATGAATTTTAAAAGTCAGTTTATGGTCTAATTATTATGATCTCAAGATGAGATTCTCTGATATGAAATAAATATCTTATGCCCTTATGTAATGTGAGCATAGTGTTGATGTACTGGTTAAAATTAATTTGGCTCTGACCTTAGGTTGTATCACTGTTTCTCCCCAAGGAAGAAAACAGCCTAATACTTTAATGTTATTGAGGTTTCAATATATCTGATTTTTTAATACCTCAAATTTTTCCTCTTACTTTCCAATTGGTATAGATTTAGCAAGTCTACAACCTGAAACTTACTTAGTCATATTTAGTCCAAATTTTACTTCAAGGAATTTCAGCATATGCCCATTTTCTTTGTGTGGGACAAACATCTAAAAGAAAAATAAATAAAGAAATATTAACTATGTATACAGTAACATGCTTTTTCCAAGACTACAAAAACATGAATTAAATAATATATGGTAGGACCATAAAGCATAGAAACTTATCAACATAAGTCAATTACATCACTTTATGCTTAAGCATAAAACTACAATGGTTAGCAGGAAAGTATTAACCTCATCTCACCTCAAATTCTTACCCACTCTACACTTTTCTGAATACCTTGTATTTGTCTCAGTTTATTCCATATATAGCTTTATGTTAACTGGGTAATAATGTTTTAAATTAAATGTAAAGCGTTTCTTTTCTCTTTGTAAGTATATAGACAAAGAATCAGAATCCTATTTTCTCACTCAGTATGTTGGTTATGATAATTGTTCAACTCAAAGTTATACCATATGAACTGTGTTACCTTACTATCTCATTATTCTATTTGCTTTACTACTTGAAGATCAGGCAAAGTTACTTACCTTCATTAAAACATTCAATGTCACAGTCAGAGCACACACCAAGTAAAAATTAATCACTTTCATTATTTTGGCTATGAAAGTTCCTTTCTTCATATTCAACTGTAGGGGAAGAATCACATGAACAAAAAAGTGAAACCTAAAAAATTTAACAATTTTAAATTAACCACAAAAGTGATAAAAAGACAATTCTAATTACCTGAAGGCACTTAGTGAGCATTAAGGCTGTTACTAAACTTAATAACGGAGACACCAATAAAGCTGGATTCTCAAATTGTAGTAAATATCCCAGAAAGAGAGAAAATATGTAGATTTTATAAACTTCATGAACCTGTTGGGACAAAAATACAATCAACAGGAACAAAATCAATTTTGTTGTATATCTTTTCATTAGTTTTCTTTAGAACGGATTTGATCATTAATTACACAGTAAATGCACTATTATAATTAGGACAACATTGTAAAAATGTTCACTTCATATTTTTATTTTCATTTTATTTGCAAGCTAGAGAGACAGTGAGAGATAGAGCCAGGGCTTGGCCAGGCTGCAACCAGGAGTCCAGAATTTAACCTCCCATGTGGGTGCTAGGGACCAAAGTACTGAACCATCATCTGCTGCCTCCCACAATGTGCTCTAGCAAAAAAGTAGACTGGAAGTCAAAGAGTCAGAATTAGAGCTAGGCACATTGATATGGGATGTAGGTATCCCAAACAGCATCTTAACCAGTGTCAAACGCCCAACCCAATCCATATTTTTAATGTTATGATATGTAATGAATGTTATCACTTCTACTTAGAAATCTCTGAAAACAAAGTAAAGGCTTTTAAACCATGGGTGTCTAAATCAGACTTTAAGAAACTTCTTTAGCCCCAGGCTCTGACTTAATTTCACTTGGTTTGACATGTTACTAAAATTCCTCTACATAATACCAGGTTACATAAATCAAAAATTATAATCTGAGGCAGATATTTAGCCAGGTGGTTAAGATACCAGATGCCTGCATCTCATATCAAAGTATCTGAGCTCCATATACACCTCTGGCTCTAAACTCTAGCTTCCTGCTAATACAAACCCTAGAAAACAGTGGTAATTGCTCAAGTAGTTGAGTTCCTGCCATCTATATGGGAGACCTGGATTGAGTTCCTGGTGTAGAGCTTCGGCCCCCTCGGCCATTGCAAGCATACTGGAGATTGAACCAGTAGATGGAAACTTGCTTGCTTTTATTTTTTTAAATTTATTTCATTTATTTGAAAGGCAGAGATACAGAGAGAGGGAGAGATGTGTGTGTGTGGGTGGGGGGGGATGTCTTTCATCTGCTGGTTCACTTCCCAAATAGCCAAATGGCCAGGGCTGGGCCAGGCTGAAGCAAAGAGCCAGGAGCTTCTTCTGAGTCTCCCACAGTGGTATAGAAGCCCAAGCACTTGGGCCATCCTCTGCTGCTTTCCCAGGCACATTAGCAGGGAGCTGTATCATAAGTAGAGTAGTTGGGACTTGAAACAGCATCTGCATGGGATGTCAGCACCACAGGTGGCAGTTTAACCTGCTATGTATGTATGCCACAACACTGGGCCCCCTTGGAAGCTTGCTTTATCTTGTTGTCTCTCTCTCTAATAAATAAAAGCTTTAGATATTAAAAATTTAACAATAAAGGGGTGGACTTCGGATGCAGTGGTTAAAACACCACTTGGGCTGCTGACATCCCATAGTGAAGTTTGAGATCCAGCTCTGCTCCCAATTATAGCTTCCTCTTAATGAGCGTCCTAGGGATCATCAGGTGATGGCTCATGCACTTGGGTCCCTGCCACCCATATGGCAGACTGGGATTTAGTTCTTGTCTCCTGGCTTTGTTTGGCCCAGTCCTGAATGTTGCAGGCATTTGGGAAATTAAGCCAGTCTACTGAAGATCTCTCTCTCTCTCTCTCTCTGACTCTCTGCCCTTCAAATAAAATAAAAATCAATGAAAAAATATTTTAAAAGAATTTTAAAACTTTAAAAAAGAAAAGGAAGGAAGATTTTAGGATACAACACTATAAAAACATGCACTCTCTGGATTTCAACATACCTTGTCACTCTGTTCCAGTGAAAAGACATCAAGCAGGAAAAGAGACACTGCTTGAAGAAACAAGAGATAGTGGCTATATTCCCACATCATCACAAATGTGTAAGTTGAGGCACTCATCAACAAATAGCAAAACCTCTAGGAAAAACAAGACACTAAATATCAGTAGAGTTTGCACCAGAAAAAATCTGGAAGGTTGCTGTTACCTCAGAGTTGCAGGTCTGTTAATGGTTCAAGTTTACACTGTTTTTAATAATCCTTATTTAAAACAGTAAGAACTTAAATAGGCACTTTAGAGAGAAAGCAACCACTGTTCTTCATTGTTCGACACCACATTGAGAACTTTAGGAAATAAAGGGGAAAAAATGTTAGTACATTTTTGTTTCATCTCCCAAGAGGCAAAGCAATAAATACAAAAAAAAAAAAAAAAAAAAAAAGGTGTTTTGTGAAGATCTGGTTGGTGAACTTCTACTATTGTGGCCATAACTCCTTTTGTACTGAAAATAATAGTTTTACTCCCATGATGCTCCCCATTTTCCTAGGAGCTTCCATTTAAACAGGGTGCTAATGTCTCAGCCTCTCCCCAGTCCAAGCCGCTGCTGCTTTCATTGCCTTTCAGCACAAATATGCCCTTATTTTTCCTGAGTGCTTGTACAGTCAACCATAGAAAACGCCTAGTTGTTTTCCTCTTTCAGAACTAAGCACAAGGATTTCATTGGCCATGCATGAAATCCATTTTGTCCTTCCAAATGTCACCTCCCAGGTGTTCCCTTAGTGAGTACCCAAGTCTGTGATAAATCCACTGTCCCATACAGCATATTTTCAACAACAGTTTCTCCTTCCTCTATGGATCTACTTTTTCATGCCCAATTCCCCCACTGACTATAATATCAAAAAGATCTCACTCTGTTAAGAATGACAGAGAGGGACGGTAAAGGTCGGGTCAAGAAACCCAAGATAAGAACTATGTAGTCACACTCAGCTGACTACACTCAATGACAAATTCCAGAGTCAGAAATACTTCAGCCAAAAAGAGATAAAATAATTTTCCAGGATTCTGAATCAGATTAAGCCCAGAGAAAATAATGTGAGAGATGGTGAAATCCCACCAGCTGGCCAATAACACCAACTACAAAGCTTAAAAAACTCCTTGTCCATAGAACACAACCTTCTGCCCTCCCTGCTGCCACTAACTACATATTATAAAAGTAGGGGCCAGCATGTAGTGGGTAAAGCCACTGCCTGTGATGTCAGCATCCCATATGGGCGCTAGTCTGAGTTCCAGCTGCTCTACTCTCAGGTCCAACTCCCTGCAAATGTGCCTAGGAAAGCAGCGGAAGATGGCCCAAGTGCTTGGGTCTAACAAAGGAAACCAGGAAGAAGCTCCTAGCTCCTGGTTTCAGTCTGGCCCAGCCCTGGCTGTTGTGGCCATTTGGGGAGTGAACCAGCAAATGGAAGATCTTTCTCTTGATCTCTCTCTCTCTTCTTTCCTCCTCTTTCTGTAACTTTGCTCAAATAAATAAGATAAATCATAAAAGAAAAAGTGTCCTGGAAACCTTCTAATGTGGAGCAACCAGAACTATATTAACCAGGCTTGAAACCATCACCCCCAGAGAAAGCAGTTTCAGAAATTAATGGTGAAATCTAGATCCAGCCTAATTTGCATACTTGGTTTTGTAGATCCTGGGGAAAAGCAAAAACATAAAAGAACAACCTGCTAATTCCAAGGATTTATTTTCACACTACTCTAAGGACACCACTGCCTCCTAGAGATTAGCTGGCTCTGAGTTCCAGCTCTGGTTCCTGACTCCAGCTTCCAGCTACTGCAGGCTCTGGGAGTGGTGATAGTCCAAGTGACGGGGTTCCCTCCCGCACACAAGGAAGACCTCAACTGAGTCCCCAGCTGCCACAGATATTTGATGAGTGAAACCAATGGATAAGAAGCTCTGTTTGTCGGAAAAAAAAACTGAACACACTGACTGGCACAGAAAAACCTCCAAAAGATGTGAGTGAATTTAAATTTTAAAAAAGGAAAATTACAAATCTGAAATGTTTTACTTTACATAAAAAGGAAATATCTCAGGTTATAAAAATGGAATGAATTTTGCTATTCTCAGGACATTTGTCACTACCGAAAGGAGGAGAGAATAGTATGCTTTTTCAGATTTCAAAGAGGAACTGTAAATGTATCCTGTTTCCCAGACAACCAGGTTTCATAGAAGCTTTTCCTTCCTTGGTCTCACTGGTCTCATACAAGCCAGTAATTCCAAATTCAAGATAAGTAGACTGTCAAAGAACTGTTCATTTCGGCAAATTTCAATAAAAGTTACCTTTTAATCACACTCATTTTATTTTATGCATTTAAGAAGATTATTCTAAGACAGCCAATAGGCTTCATTCAATTGTCAAAGCGGTTTGTGCGAACAATAAAGTAGGAACATGAATTATCTGGGCTGGGCAAGTCTCCTAAGGTTCTCACTAAGCTACATCAGGAAAGCACAGGTGTAAGCAAAGAATATACAGTGTCACCATCAGAGTTACCATTGTGGTTATCTGTGGTCAGTCTTCATACTTTCATTAATGTTTTTTTACATTATGATGACTAAAGGCCCTCAATGTTCCAGATCTGATAAAGTAATGGTGGGACAGATTAATTTTTAAAATAAGATATTCTTCATATGTTTGTCAAGTAACTGCATTAAAATGATATCTTTTTTTCCTAAAAATAACTTACTGTCTATCAGATTATAATATAATCATTTGATAAGAACACTACCTAACTGTATTCTCTACTACTATGTAATAACCAGGCTTCAATGAATGGAACTTAACTTTTAATATGCTTAGCTTTAAAATTATGCACCATATTTGTAGGAACTCAGAATTAACTGTGATGGATAAACAAACTGATATCTTACCTCTGCATAAGTATTTAAGTTGCTTTTTAAATAGCCTGTAAGTGCAGCAACTTGGCATGCAAAATATGGTAGTGCCCAGTTTTCTCTTAAAGGAATGGAGTATTCAATTCTTGTTGTATCTACCCTAAAATAAACCACAGATGAACAGCAAAAGCAAGACGTTATATTTGTGTAACACTATACCTACCAAAGCACTTTCATACACAGTCCATTGTTCTCCATAACAACCCTGTGAAGTAGGCACAGGCAGAACTACTACTATCTATGAGCAAGCATCATGAAGCAAATTAATAATGTCCCACCCCTACCTTCCACACAAGAAGATACAGTGTTGCTGTGTGCTACCTGGTGAACAGCTGCACCTCAGTGACAACTTGAAAGAGTCATGCTTGCTGACAGCCCTGCGCTACAGTTTGTTGTGAAGCAGTTGGGATATCAGGGCCCACCCTCTCTTTTCTTAAACAGAGGGTATCCCTCTCTGGAGCACCATCTGTACTAAGGATCCAAGCTCTTATCCCCCTTTACAAAAGGAATACAAAGCTCAGAGATATGATGTGACCTAGTCAAGGTCACATGGCTAGTAGGTAGCATAACTGGGATTATGATGTATTTCTTCTAATATCTAGAGTTTACTAATCTTGTCAGTGAGTAGGTTACCCAGAATTAACTTGACAGTAGACTTTCATGTGATATACTGAGAGAACTTGAAAATTCCTAGAATCACAAATGCAGAAATATCTCTGGTAGGCTCTAAGTCTCTGCTTAGTTACTTCTCATGGGGAACTTGTTGTCTCCCACGCAAATCCTGAAACCAAAAGAGGACTAACTTCCCCCAAAATCATTAATTTGGCTCTCTTACACCAGATGACTATTTTCCACACAAAAACAATGTTGTTATTTCTTTTGAAAATTGTTCTGTAACTCTGTAATAGAGATGGACATGCTTGTGAATGACTATGTTGTCAATAGCCATGTGACACACTGCTATATACTGTTATCAGTTAGTGAATTTTATTTCCAATTATACTTATCATGAACCACAGAAAACCATGCTGCATGACTCCAATTATAGAAAATTCTAGAAAATGCAAATGAAACTATAGTGACAGAACGAAGATCATTGGTTCTCTGAGGACAATAGCATAAAAGGGAGATGGGTAAGAGGAGGAAGGAAAGAGGAATTAGAAAAGGGCATGGGGAAACTTTGGAGGGGGGGTGATGGATATGTTTATTACATCAATCGTGTTAAGATTTCATGGGTGTGTCCAAATGTCTAAATTAACCAAATTGTACACAAATATGTGCAGTTCATTTTATGTCAATTATACCTCAATAAAGCTGTTAAAAAGCATAAGAATTTTCAATCATATATATATTCATAGACGATAGGTGGAGTGTTTTTTATATTTATAAATATACAAAAATGGTTTCACATGTGAAAATCAAATGAAATAAAAGCTGTGACACTAGTGTTGTAGCATAGCAGGTAAAGCCACTGCCTATGATGTCAGCATCCAATATGGGCACTGGTTCCAGTCCTGGCTGCTCTACTTCCGATCCAGCTCCCTGCTAATGTGCCTGTGAAAGCAGGGGAAGATGGCCCAAGGGCTTGAACCTCTGCACTAACATGGGAGACCCGGAGGAAGCTCCTGGTTCCTGGCTTCAGTCTGAACCAGCCCTGGCTGTTGCAATCACTTGGGGAATGAACCAAGTGGTTCAAGCAGATGGAAGCTCGCTCTCTCTCTCTCTCTCTCTCTGTAACTATGACTTTCAAATAAATCTTTAAAAGAAAGAAAACCTGTAAACAACTTAGTAGTGTCTAGAACCAAGTAAACACTCAGTATTAGATCTTAACTGTTATTATTCTGTAATGAATATTTTTTAAAATATTTATTTATTTATTTGAAAGTCAGTGTTAGAGAGAGGAGAGGCAGAAAGAGAGAGAGGTCTTCCATCCACTGGTTCACTCCCCAATTGGCCGCAACGGCAGGAGCTGCGCCGATCCGAAGCCAGGAGCCAGGAGCTTCTTCGAGGTCTCCCATGTGGGTGCAGGGGCCCAAGGACTTGGGCCATCTTCTACTACTTTCCTAGGCCATAGCAGAGAGCTGGATGGGAAGTGGAGCAGCTGGGACTAGAACCAGAGCCCATATGAGATGCCAGCGCTTCAGGCCAGGGCGTTAACCTGCTTTGACAAAGTACTGGCCCCTGTAATGAATATTTTTTAAAAAGTTTTAACTCAATATATTTTTAAAAGATTTAGTTATTTATTTGAAAAGCACAATTACAGAGAAACAGAGGGAGAGACAGAGATGGATCTTCCATTTGCTGGTTCACTCCCTAAATTGCCTCAATGGCTAGGGCTGGGCCAGGCTGAAGTCATGAGCCAGGAGCTTCTTCCGGGTCTCCCATGTAAGTGCAGGCCTCAAGCACTTGGGTCATTCTTATTGCTTTACCAGGCATGTTAGCAGGGAGCTGGATGAGAAGTGAGGCAGCTGGGACTCGAATTGGTACCCATATGGGATGCTGGCTCTGCAGGTGGCAGCCTCACTCACCATGCCACAGCACCAGGCCCAATGAATTATTTTTGACTTAAAATATAGAAACATCTTTGCAAAATATATGTATCAGTAAATAATTTAAAGAACACTTAACGGTGGCTAGTGTTTCGGTGTAGTAGGTAAAGCCACTGCCTGCAAAACTGGTTTCCCATACAGGTGCAAGTTCATGTCCTGGCTGCTCCACTTCCGATGCAACTCCCTAACTCCCTAATGAGCTTGGGAAAGGAGCGGAAGATGACCCAAGTGCTTGGGCCCCTGCCACTCACGTGGGAGACCTAGAGAAAGCTCCCAGGTTCTGGCTACAGCCTGGCTCAGCACTGGCTATTGCAGCCACCTGGGGAGTGAACAAGTGGATAGAATCTCTTTCTCTCTCTCTCTCTCCGTAACCCTTTACAAACAAATAAATAAATTTTAAAAATTTTTAGAAAAGAACATATACTGACCATAGCAAACCACCATATGGATCTACCATAATCTAACCAATACCTTACTGTTATATACTTACATTGTTTCCAACTTTATCTATAATAACTTTTTAAAACATTATTTTTATATACTAATGATTAGCTTCCTTACTTTAAACTCTTCATCTGGAATTTATCTTAGTATATGTGCAACATGGATTCCTTTTTCCAATTCAGTTGTTCCTGCATCATTTATGAATTTCACATATTCTGAAAACCACATACTACTGAAATACTGTTTTAAAAGTTAACTTTCTAAAAGACAAAGGAGATTCACATAAGGAAGATGGTGGGGAGGAAGGACTCCACAAGCTATTCAATCAGCCCAGACCTGGGAAGCTAAACCCAGTAATTCCCATCCCCAAGGTTCACTCGATACACATAGAGATTAACTCTAATCAGAAACACAAGGTAGGGATCTGGAAAACTTGTCAAAGAATCCTCCTCTAGTCATTCCAACACACTGAGTAGGATCTCTGCCAGCCATTCCTGACACCCTCGGAGACAACCTAGACAAGCCTCCACAGACCTGCAGATACATCCATGGGAATCAGCAAGTTCTGAGTTTAATTTTGTATTTTAACTTTTTAAAAAAGATTTATTTTTACTTATTTGAAAGACAGAGTATCAGAAAGAGGTAGAGTCAGAAAAAGAGAAAGGTCTTCCATCCACTGGTTCACTCCCCAAATGATGCAACAGCCAGAGCTGAGCTGCGCTGATCCGAAGCCAGGAGCCAGGAGCTTCCTGAGTCTCCCACGCGGGTGCAGGGGCCCAAGGACTTGAGCCATCTTCTACTGCTTTCCCAGGCCATAGCAGAGAGCTGGATCGGAAGTGGAGCAGCCGGAACTTGGACTGGCACCCATATAGGATTGCCAGTGCTGAGGCTCGGGGCTTTAACTCACTGCACCACAGCGCCAGCCCCTTGTATTTTCATTTTAATAATATTTAAAAACATACGGGTCAGGCTGGTGCCGTGGCTCACTTGGCTAATCCTCTGCCTGTGGCGCCAGCACCCCAAGTTCTAGTCCCGGTGGGGGTGCCAGGTACTAGTCCCGGTTACTCCTCTTCCAGTCCAGCTCTCTGCTGTGGCCCAGGAGGGCAGAGGAGGATAGCCCAAGTGCTTGGGTTCCTACACCCACATGGGAGACTGGAAGGAAGCACCTGGATCCTGGCTTCGGATCGGCGCAGTGCTGGCCGTAGTGGCCATTGGGGGAGTGAACCAACGGAGGGAATACCTTTCTCTCTGTCTCTCTCTCACTGTCTATAACTCTCTCTGTCTCTCTCTCTCACTGTCTAACTCTGCCTGGCAAAAAATAAAAAACAAACCAAAAAAACCATATGGGTCAGCACTGTGGCACAGCAGGTTAAAGCCCCAGCCTGCAGCGCCTGCATCCCATATGGGCACCAGTTTGAGTCCCAGCTGCTCCTCTTCCTCTCCAGCTCTCTGCTATGGCCTGGAAAAGCAGTGGAAGATGACCCACCTCCTTAGGCCTCTGCACCCCAATGTGGGAGACCCAGAAGAAGCGCCTGGCTCCGGATCAGGTCAGCTCTGGCCGTTGTGGTCATCTGAGGAGTGAACCAGAGGAATGGAGGATTTCTCTCTTTCTCCCTCTTTCTCTCTGGTTCTACCTTTCTCTGTAACTCTTTCAAATAAGTAAAAATAATTCTTAAAAAATAATAAAAAATAAAAACATATACTGGCAGTCATTGTAGTTCAACGGGTTAGGTTGCTACTTTAAATGTCCATATCCTGTATCAGATTGCTTGGAATCCTGGCTACTCCACTTCTAATCCAGTTTCCTGCTAATGCATACTGGGAGGCAGTAGATGGTGGGCCAGTTACTTGAGTCCCTGCCACCCACGTGGGAGACCTGGAGTTTCAGGCTCCTGGCTTCAGCCTGGCCCAGTCTGGCTGTTGCAGTCATTTGGAGAGTAAACCAATGGATGACAGCTCTCTCTCTGTCGTTCTATCCTTGAAGTAGATTGAAATGAATATTCTACTTGACTGGGATTATTTTTTAAGGTCATTAAGTTTACATGAGAAAAGTTGCCAGGCTTCTTCTTCAAATATAAATATCTAGGGGCCAGTGCTGTGGCATAGC